TTAAAGCTACAGAATGTCAGTTATTCCTGAAAAGGGAGTTCATGAAGAAACTTATCTGTGATTAGGGTTATTTAGTTAACTTTTAAAGTTTGGTTAAATTTGACCGACGGTAAAGGTGGCAACTACCTAATAGTCTCAGAAATTTAAAATGAGGAGTTTGAATATATATATATATATACGCCAAACTATGTGTCATCCTGATATATTTAGTTTGGAGATTGCAGAGATTAAAACAGACTGTCTGAGATTAAATCATTTGTTCTAGGAACTATGACAGACTATGTTTATTTACATTCATTTAGCCGTAGAACAGTCACATACTTTTGTAGAAACTGTAATATTGTCTTCTCATAGTTGGAAAAAAATCACCTGGCTATCTTTGTTGCCGCTATGTGCTACTGACTCAAAAGATTCCGTGGTCAACTTTTCCTACATTCGTCTAAGTTAGCGCATGCAAATGTCAGTTTTTCACATCCGACAATGTGCACGCATGAAGTATCATACTTTGTTATGACTGAAATTTTACCTTGACCCTTTATTCTACAGGAGTCGTTGGTTGCGATTCAGAAAGATTTTAGTCTTTGATAATCATAGACTATCGACCACTTCAACTTATTCCACGGGCTTTATATTAGCTGATGTGGCTTAGACAGTGAGCAAAACTAATGCCAGTTAGTCATTTCAAAAGACACTTTGTTTCTGTTGATGAGTCATTGTGTATCAGATTTCCATTAATGCATATCTATTTCAGCGGCGGAATCCTTGTCAACCACGCACTTGGTCTGAGTTCCGTTTACAGCTAATGCACTCCTAATCATCCTAGTTCACTAGTTAATATTGAGCTCAAAAAAGAGCAAAGTTTGGGCGTGAGGCTAACAACCCTAACGAGGTTTTGCGACATTTGATTTTGATCATCTATCACTGCGTAAAGCGTATTACTACTCATCTATTTGTTTCGGATGGGTTTCCATAAACTTTTTGATGCATACCTTTTCGAATAAAAATGTTCTGACTGCTTGACATCACCGTTGTGCTATTCCAACTTACTCAACGTTTGTAAAATATATTTATCCTTTAATATTTGATAGTTTGGTTTGTAAGGGTTAGTTATGTTTTTACGAGTTGATGACGGATTGATATCAGTTAGAGAAACATTGAAAACCAGGGAGTACTTTAACAAAATAAATTTAATATATAACCAAAACTTAAAAAAGGAGTTACAGAAGGGCATATTTCCTATTCAGTAGACTATGGTTCAGTAGTCTATGGTTTACAGGAATTTTACTAATGTAATGAAGGGTGTAATTATATGTTTCGTAGTACACTTCTATTTATTTAAAAAGACTGGCATAAACTCGTTAGCGAAATTAGAACAAATTATGTGTCTTGAAGGCCTTCAAAACATGCAGCTGAATCCTGAATAATGAGATACTTGTGGAGAAAACACAGTGAAGGTGTTCTGTCAAGTAATGAACTGTTGATACTGAGCAAAAGAAAGAAAAATATCGTCTGTTATCCAATGATAATTCGAATTTATCACCAAATAGGGTTTCTTAAACTATAATACATCACTTGGAACTTCAGTAACAAGCATTCAGACAGCGTAAACAAAAGTCTACATGTTTGCATGAACAGTAGAAATCATACATACGCGCAGTTATTACCGTTATTGTTCCCTTCATGCTTAGCATCTGTTCCCTAATTGGTTATTTTGTCAACTTGGTCGAAGTATTTATAAACTACTTCCTCTTGATTTGACCTAGAAACTAAAATTTTCCCTACTGAAGAGCTAAAATTGAAGGCAGTATTCCCTTTTATTTGTTTGTATTCGGGTGTACTTTTGTGTAATCAGTAAACTCCATTAATCTGAGGTTTCCCGATTATCGCTTGACATGTAATGCTAAAAATACAGAAAATACTGCCACAATATGATCATAGTGTAATATACGACAAAGTAAATATCCATTTTCTGCCTGAACATCGTTTACTAACGACTTAGTCTACAGGAATCTGTGCCATTGAGGAACACATGAAAAGAGGTATTCTTCATAATTAATACATTAAATGAAAAAGAATGTAAATAACTTATCTTTAAACAAGGAAATGATCTGCAAAAACAAGATGTGAATAAAAATATCCAAACTTGTAGGGATATTTTCTCACTGCATTGAAACCAACAAATCAAAAACAAGCTAATTCGGACCAAGGATGACTTTGATACGCTTTACAAGAATAACATTTATTCTGTTAGTCAATGAAGGTTAGATATTGAGGTCACTGAATATGAAAGGGAAGAACAAATACAGAGATCTGTAATAAGAACATGAGCATAAGAATTTTCTAATGAAGTGAACACTCATATTGATTGAAACGACATACTGAGGTAGAGAAGCGAGAACAAAGGAAAGGAAAAATCAATTACCATATGTATATATGTATTCCCTTCTGCATTTTCGAGAATAGCCTTTACCAGTCGACCATTACTGTTCAATAACCTGAAGGACAAGATCTTGCAGTTGACCAACTCTATGTGAGTTTATCAATTCACTTGCTCGTGTGAAGCTAGGTATATCGGTCGTTCGACTTGGGATTTGTCCAAGAGGGTGCAAGAGCACTATCCTGAATGGTTACAAAGAGGTAGAAATGGAGCGATAAGCAGCGCAATCATTGAACATCTGGTCGACAGTGACCCCCTATCGCTATAGCCTCCGCCTTTAAAGTCATCTACAAGGCGAAAAGTATTTTGCCCAAATCTCTACGTACCCGACTCATCTGTACTGCTGAGGCTTTGGCCATTGAAACAGAAAAGCCAGGTTTCTGTAAACAGAAAAAGTTCGTTCAACCCCTCCAACTCTCATGGTCTTCATCCTTGTATGCTAAAGTATGGTAATCCCTAATCGTATTTGGGCTCTACCAATTTTTTCGTTTTGTTTATCCAGTTTGTATACTCTTCCTTTATTGTGTCAACTATTACTATTCTCACTTTGAACTGTTCCCAGTATTATTTCACTCGTTCCACCTGTCATTCGAAATCAATTCTGTTTTGCAACGTTAGATTCTGTTATCAAATTTCACACAATGTTACATAGCGTTTTATTTTATTCTATTTGCTTACTAATCCTATAATTGTACACCCTTTACAAGTTCTATACATCCTATGAATTATTCCATATATGACATTAACAGTTTTGCCACTTGACACTGAACTACGATTATAATTGCAAACATTTTTACTGCATTTCACATGATTATTATTTTATGCATTCACGCTTATGATTCAATCTCCTCACCGAATATAACTTCTTAAAAACTATGTATATATATATATATAAGCCAACTTCACATTTAAAAAATAGTGGGTATTAGGCATATAAAAAAGTCATTATATAGGCTCCCGCATTTCTCAGAGAATGGAAAGAAACAAAACGAAAGTATTTTTACTTGCGTTTAGACAGTTTAAGACAAAATTTGACTTAGTTCCAACATCTCACCCTCCGCATGAAGTGACAGAGTCAACACAAATATGATAACTAACCCCATTATGTAAACATACTAATTAATTTAGCAACCTCCACATGTATTATGTTTACCGACTCATCCACATGAGAATCTAAATAATCAATTTATGCTGAAGAACAGTGATAAAGTTACTGCATATTAGATGGAATTTTTAAAAATTCTGGTTTGATATTGTTTTTATGAGTCTATTAGCCCTAGATAGCGAAATGTCAGCAAAAACAGCATCGTTTTATTTTTTCTTCCTTTGAAAAGTGCAAAAGCCATAATATTAATGAATGAGACTGGCTAAATACATTAATGAATGTTACATTCTCATCAGGACCTTAGGAATAATCAGCAGTTTATATTCCACTTGAAAAACATCAATGTCATGTGACATTCATAATAGTTTCCATGTTCAAATTCGTAAATAGTGTACACCAATAAAGTGAATAATTATTTATTGAACAGTTCAACTGCTAAATTACCCAGTGTTTTCTGATGAAACACTAGTCTGTGTTTGTGAGACAAAGTGGGAAATTGACACTGGCTGTCTGGATATGCATAAAATGGAAGTGTATGAGTGCACAAAATACTCTGTGTTTGTAGGAGGGCTAAATCACCATAATGTAGTTTGTAAAAACGCCTAACAGCTTCACTGCATTTAAAAAAATAACACCCAGTCATATGGTTATTTTAGATATAGTAAATCAAGAGATTAAATTGAGAGATATGTGAATTATCTACCAATGTAATTATTTTCATCATAATCCATGAAATATTATCATACCATTTACGTTCAACCAACTGCTTCTTCTCATTGGCCACCTTCGTTATTTGCAATTCATCCACATATATAAATATCATGACGCTAGAAAATATCTACATGTTACAATAACAGAGGCGTTCTCTTTCACGTCCATTGACGGAGAAGCATCAATTCAGCTGTATTCATGTCTGATGACACCAATGAATTAATCTTCTATGACACACCTTATGATCTAGTCTACTTCTGCGATCACCTCTCATTTAATTCTACCCCACTGTACAGAGCACACTGCATTATTACAAAAATTCTCGGAGGGTGGTCAGCATATGTTCTACCACTCATTTGCGGCCTCGGACTAATGATGCACACAGCTGTTATCGCCATCATTTTCACAAATTTGAAATGCATGCCACGTCAGTTGATCTACACAGGATGTTTGAGCTGTTCGAATGTCATCACCAATATCCTATTCGCTTGGTTGTGGTTATTTCCAGCAAAGGGTTTACCGTTTGCTACAAAAGGACATATATACTACTTCATATCGAATGCTTCAAGATTAGCCTGTCGTCTGTTCCGATTCCACTACTCACTGAGTACAACGTTTACAAGTAATTTAATATTATGCTCAGCTATTGACCGTTGTCTGAGCATATTTTATCCAGTAAGTTTTTCACGGTGGAAAAGACGTCACGCCTGGTATGTTTGTCTAATTGTCTTTGTCGTCAGTGGCATTATGATGTTACCGTTTGTCATCATAGTCGACTGGATACAAATTGGCCGCTTTCATATTTGTTGGTTGGATGAGAGGGAATTTCGTCTTCAAGTATATCATACAATATTTGCGAACTTAGGCTTAGTGCAGAGTACTTTGATTGTTATTGTCAATGTGGCGTTCATAACACGGCTTCGTATACAATTCAAGAAGACAGGTGGTGGTGGTTTAGCATATAACAAAAAAGAATTGAAGCATATTACAATCTCCACTATTCTCTTGGCATTTTCAATGTCTTATGTGTTGACCGCTTTACCACAGACTACAGTTTATTTATTGGCATTCCTATGGTCACATTCGAAAGGAAACATGATACCAGAAAATGAAGTAAGTGTCAGAATGATGTACAATTTGGCAGATATAGGATGGAATATTCATTTTTTACGAGAATTAGTCGATTTGTTCATGTATTTTGTTTATTTGAAGCCATTACGTCGTACAATAATACTTAAAACTAAACAGTATATCAAAACAATCACTCACTATGATTTAAACTCGTCTGACCATATACCGGCAAAGTAGTTATTATACCTATTGAATATTTATTGTTGATTGTACATGGCTTTGAGTCACGGTAATGTAAGCACCCGCTTAGTGATTTATTTTTCAGCTTTTTCGTATTTAAACACACTTCTTTTATCTTTCTTATTTATTATATATATTTTGTGGTTCAATAACGTTATTTTGAGAATTTGTGTTTACTGCTTTATTAAGAATCATTTTGAACTATTTTTGTCTCTACTACTATTTCATATTAGTAGAAAGCATTTTAATCACAGTTAATTATATAAGTCATCTACTATTTTATTCAGAAATATTTATATCACTGAATAAACATTTTGAATGTACTAATTCGCAGGTTTTATCTTTTTCATAACCATCATATGGTTTTGAAAACAGCTGTGTGGCCAGCGAAAATAAAAGGTAGATTATTCAGAATGGCAATGTGTATTTGAAATAACAAGGGTAGTGAGTAATATATTCATAGATTTAGTAATGATCCCCCTCTGATTACCTTAACATCTCTTTATTGGATAGAAAGTGTGCGTCCATCATACATCTTAATGGTCAAATAAAAGTAGTCCACAATCACAGAAACAGAATCACTAAAAACGTAAGAGAGATCAAACACGGTCTAATTTATGACCAAGATGTAGCTTTATGTTTGGAGCACTGACATTAGGAATATAACTGTCTAAAAGGGAAATCATTTGAATGTATTATAACAGATCAAGCATCTCAAAAGGAAAGTAAAATAAAATGTGGAATAGTACTTCTGTGCTTCGAATAGCATGAACGCAGATTAGCATAAAAAACTGAAAAAGATGAAAAATATCTTAACAGTGATTATATGTTAAAAAAAACAATACTCAGTGTATGGTTACAAGGAATAGCTAACTGGTTTAAATACATCGAAATGTAATCCACTTGCACCACATCAGCGAGGAAAATGTCTGCACACTGGAGTCGTCTTACAGACAGTTTTCCTCAACAAGATACGAGAACATGTAAAATTATAAAACACAAAAATAATCCCCTTTATCGCTAACCTCTGGGGTATTCATTTTCATTCCGATACTGCTTATAAATACAGTAGCAGAACCAAATTATATCCTTGTTGTTCAACGAAGCAAAAAACACGAATAATTGGTTACGCCAAATAATACTCATTCTGATAGCAGTTATCCGAGTATGAGAAAATGAAAACTGGAAAAAGTGACAGCAGATATTTAGATTTGCAAACAAAATCACAACCATGACCAAAATAGATAAAAAGGTCACTCAGTAGTCAGGTGTCATGGTTGAGAGTGTGAAGCTCTTGAGGGTGGTCTGAGTAATAGATATTAGAACTTTGAGAAAAAGTTGACTTCTGTTCAAATGAAGAAGAAGAGATGCGATGAGAAAACAGAGAAGCAGATTCCTGCAAAAGGAAAATATCACCTATAAGAGCACATTAGTTATTTATGAATAAGTAAATTAAAAATATAAAGTTCTTCTCACCGTTGTAGCGAAAGACCAACAGCAGTAGATTCCTATATTGATCATCTGGATCTTAGTTGTCTAATCACAATTGCTTCAGTGACACGTAATAAACTGAGACTCTTTTCTATGTTAATTATCTTAAATGATCTAAACAACTGATTTTTTGAACCTAATATGTAACACGTAACTGAAAATAGTGACAGTAAAGACTCCGGCTCATTTTTTTACCCACAAATACCTAGGCTATGAGAGAGAAGATTCAAATGCATTCCAGATAATGAAATCAATTTAAAAAAAACAGATACATAAATAAATAAAACACAATATCTGAAGACCGAACATATTTCCATGAAAACATCATCTATCACATAGTTATTTCCATAATAAAAAACCGAAAAAGTAGCAACCTCGAAATATATATATATATACATAAAGACTGAGGAGGAAATCCTAGTAATGAAAAAAAAAGTAGTCTGAGATCTTGATGAACCGAAAAGAAGTCAGTAAGATGTGAATAATCCTGACGTGAGGAACAGTCGGATATCATAAATAGGATGACGCCTTTTAATCTTGAGCAGCACATTCACAAAAATGTGTATGTATCTTCCAAAGAAGCAAGGAAAAGAGTCGTCGTATTTGAAACGGTGAAATATCACAGTCGTAATTAAGTGCTCGTTGACTGAATATTCGTCTAAGCATCGTAATCTGTTCTTGTTCTAAGTGGTATCTGGGCTTATATGCAGTCAAAGATGTGACAGGATAATTACGGAGAAACTGTGACCAGAAATCTCATCGTGTCTGTAAAGTTGACTTGACACTATCGACTGAAAACAGCAAACACAATGAGCACTCGAAGTGCAATGAGAACAATACTCCTGTTAGTGTGTCGAACTTTCAGGAGAGTGCAATGATGCTGGTAGGAAATGAAGGTGAAGATTTATGCAAGTATTATCACATCAATCACATGGACACACATATTAGCTTCTCCATCAGATTCTAAAAATGCTCATATCATATTCGATTTTTGCCTACATGATATTTGAGCAGAAACTCACACTACAACAACTTTCGAGTGTAAAATATTTTCCGGTCGAAAGGTGAAGTACACCATGAAATATTCATTATGTAGAATACTGAAATTCTGTTGATCGGATCCACTTGTATCGCTGGTCACATTTCTCGAAGCTTATTCCCTGAACAAATGATAATAAATATCCCCGGAATGACGTCTGTGCAAACAAGTCGACGATTATCAGTATCCTGATAGTCCTAGTCGGCCGTTCATCCAAATCCCCATGCTTATATCGAAGTGTGTTGTCAACAAATCTCGAAACATATGATTACGACTGCAGTTGCCGTAGAGCACATGAGAGGAAGAGAAGGATGGAATCTGTCGTTATAATCCCCTTTCATATGTTGACAAAGCCAAAAAACTGAGTTGTGATCGTATTCAAATGATAAAAGGCATCCTCTTCTCCTCATGATGGCATGATAAAAGCTATCCATAAATCAGTTTAATGAGGATAAACATGAGAATTGGCATCAAGTCAGTAGAATGTGCATCCGTTAATCACAATGAATTCACTGCAAAATGGCTTATACAATGTTAACCGCATAGAAGAATATCTTTACACAATGTCGAGTTCCATCAATGTAGCTGGGGTTGACTGAGCAGCATAACGGTGACAATGAGAAGAAGAACACCTGTAGTAGTGAATGTGAATTTTACTAAACTAACAATAAACAGTGTTTCAATATGATATAAATACACCGATGTAATACGGAACACACTGCATGCATTTCCATCAGATGAACAGGACTCAAATTCCGTGAGGGACTGAGATAACCGATTCTACATAAAGACATCAAGCCACTCAAGCACATCACTAGCTTTCCGAAGCGTATATAAACACATTATAAATTGAAGATCAGTGTTAGCTAACTGAAGGACGATTAGGCTCGTAGGGCATTGGCGATCGTCAGACTAAAACATCCAACCATCCAATACGCGAATTCATTGCATTCCTATCCTCTACGACTATGCGTTCTTAATGGTTGTACAGAGATTGGAATTGATGCACACCCGCACTAATTTTGACGCTGATTTATAATTTATCAGTCAGTCATATGAGGATTGGACGGAAGTATGTGAAGTTTAATAAAGATTGACTATCCATAGAAAACGTGAAATATCCAAAATTACAAAGGTACATCTTGAAGGCGCTTGACCATAAATGAATTATTTTATAATTTGAGATCGTGCATATTTTCGGTAGACCGAAGTTCCATGAGTGTTCAGTCATTTGAGTGGCAAGATGTGGAGATTTGAATTTCTCAATGGCCGTTGTAACTATAGCCAATGAAAAAATCACTATGACTTCTAGAACAAACAGTCTTGGGTAACTTACATTGCTTTCTCGTCATTCGCTTCTGTATGTAAGAAAGATATGTGATGGAAATGACTCGTTTTATTAATGTCAAACTTTATATACCTTGTCATGAGAGAGTTTGATGCCCCAAATCACTGAAAAGCTGGAGAATTTTCAAATGCTTAATGACAAATTTAGGCTGAGGTTATGAAGTCTGCACAAATAGTGATGAGGGTAGTTTATGAATGAATTAACCTTTTAGATAAAATGAAGTTAGCCCCTGTGGGCTGGATGGTCTGATTACACGGCTTTTGTTATCACTGGATGCATCAACGCAGACACCAAATGCAGAGAATTTGGATTTCTCAACAGTCGGCTTAGTAGTTTATTTTAGTTTCGAGCAGATTGAAGCTAATACCTAACAGGAGACTATGTTGTGTGGGAACGCTTTCTGGAAGATGTGGTGGACAGCAGTCAAAGAGCAAGCATTTCTTTGACACTCGAAACAGATTCGTTTTAGTAACTGGATTTCACAGACTAATTTGCTTTTTGTTTGTTGTGAATTTATAACTCTGTAGAAAAGTTCCGTACTCTATTTTTATTAAGATAAGTGAGATATGAGCTTCGCGAAAATGAACGGTAGTACTTCCCCCTTATAACCTAATACTGACTTATCGTTTTAGTCGAAATGGTGAGGTAATGGTGGTCACCGCATAGTATAGTCAGCTAGTGATTGGAGAGAAAATTAATTATTCCGAAAAACTAACAATACAGCAATAGTGAGAAGGTAGATTTGTGAACGTGTTGCTGGTAGCATTTTCTACGACTTGACATTGACATGTGGGCCACTGAATATCTGGGATTATTTGTTGGCCATTTTGTACTAGTTGTGAATTCTTTAGTGTAGCAAAGTGAGCATAATTGAGACAGAGGTGGCGAGGATATTACTATCGTTTTATGTTCGGCTAGTCTGATAGTAACGATAGTGATGATAGTAATAATAAAAATAATAATAACGATAACAATAATAATGACAACAATAATAGTCATAATAATAATAAGAGTGATAATAATAATAATGACGATACCAACAATAAGGAATCTAAATCATCAGTGGCATTCAAACCAACCACAAACTCAATTAGAAACAAGCTTTGTCGGTTAAAGGAT